CCCATCTCACGGCGCGGTCAAATTGATGGCGTGACGTCACTGGTTGTACTCGCGCGTTCATTCCAAAGGTGAATTTGTCAATTTGTTATGGCCGAGACTCAAATCAGCCGAGCGAAAGGGAAATCTCTTGGAAAGTATTGTGTTGCAGGCAGTAGTATAGGGAAGGGGGGTTCTGGACCGGGTGGAGCGGGTGGAGCACTAGAGCTCCACCCATTACGTCATCAGGATATCATTTCACACCAATTACACGCGCTTATAATGTATTCAGATGAGTGTGAACCAATGATAACCAGCATTTTAACAAAATTTTACAGTTTAATACTTTGCTAATATTTAAATCCACATATATTTCACAGGACGGAAAAATAGATTTGCTCCAACTTTGCAACCCCCTGTAAAGCTGCCATTGCCGTAATCGCATCAAATTTGCTATTGTGCAAATTTTGTTCAAATTTGAAAAGCAAATTGGTAAATAAATTTTTACCCTCATATTGGTAAATACAATTCTCTTTTTTGAGAGGGAATGGGTATAGGATAAATTTGGCTCAAATTACCTTTCATTTGCACATGTGAATTTGTAGGTATTTTCGTCCATAATTTGGTTTCTAAATTTGCCAAAATATTTGCAACCTTGCAAATTTGATGCGATTACGGCAATGGCACCTTTGCACCGGGTTGCAAAGCCTAGTGCAAATCTGTTTTTTCGCCCTGTGTTTTCTCTAACAAACTGAGTGAATCTTAACACGTTCTCGATATATATTCAACTACAGTTGTTGTAATGCTTACGGGACGTAGATATTAAATTATACGCATGCGCAATGAGAATTGTGATGATATTCTAAGATATTGTATGATGTTCTAAGATATTGTATGATGTTCTAAGATACTGTATGATATCCTAAGATACTGTTTGATATCCTAAGATATTGCATGATATCATAAGCTATTGATATCCTGAGATATTGATATCCTAAGATCTCGATATCCTAAGATACTGAACGATATCCTAAGATATCGATATCCTGAGATTTTGATATCCTAAGATCTTGATATCCTAAGATACTGAACGATATCCTAAGATATTGATATCCTAAGATACTGTATGATATCCTAAGTTATTGTATGATATCCGAAGATACTGTATGATATCCTAAGATACTGTATGATATCCTAAGATATTGTATGATATCCTAAAATATTGACATCTTGAGATATTGATATCCTAAGATCTTGAAATCCTAAGATACTGAACGATATCCTAAGATATTGATATCCTAAGATACTGTATGATATCCTAAGTTATTGTATGATATTTGTAGATATTGTATGATATCTTAAGATATTGCATGATATCCTAAGATATTGTGTGATATCCTAAGTTACTATATAATATCCCAAGATATTGTATGATATCCCAAGATATTGTATGATATCCTCAGATTCTGCATGAAACCCCAAGATATTGTATGATACTGCATTACATACTAAGATGTAGGTATCCTAAGATAATATATTCAATGATTCAATCTATGATTCGATGATTCAATCTATGATTTAATGATTCAATCTATGATTCAATGATTCAATCTTATGATTCAATGATTGAATCTATGATTCAATGATTCAATCTTAGGATTCAATGATCGAGTCTATGATTCAATGATTCAATTTTAGGATTCAATGATTCAATCTATGATTCAATCTTAGGATTCAATGATTCAATCTTAGAATTCAATCAATGATTCAATGATTTAATGTTAGGATTCAATTATTCAGTCTATGATTCAATTACTTAATTTTATGATTCAATGATTCAATCTATGATTCAATAATTCAATCTTAGGATGCAATCTATGATTCAATGATTCAATCTTAGGATTCAATGATTCAATCGATGATTCAATGATTCAATCTTAAGATACAATGATTCAATCTTAGGATTCAG